ATATATATATACGATTATTTTTATTTTCATATAAACATCGATAGATAGATCTCTACACATGTGTGTATATGTCTAGATACTAAACGTGTGTGTATATTATACAGAGAGGGAAGATAGGAGTGAATGACAGACAAATGAGCTAATCGTTTTCCTATCTGAATGAGAGGCTGACAGAGAACTTGTGGACTTTGCTATGTAATACATTTTGTCTATTGTCTAACTGGTTGTTTCATTATCTTTTTCATCTTATCAGAGATGAAGTTCTATTGATTGTAGTGGGATAGCTTCTCGTAAAAACACGCAAATCAAAATGACCAAGTGTTATCTTTTGTTGAACAGTAACGCTTGTATGCTGTGAATCTTGCAGGCATCATACTGTTGCAGAAAGTATCAGAGCAAATTACTTTTACGCACTTACACAGCAAAGAATTTCATTAAATTGAGTGTTTTAGAGTAGTTCACTATATTGTTCGTATCTAAGTGCTTAGGCACAGATGTTTGAGGCGGTAATACTTTTCTTCATTATTATCCGCTTTGTGAATGGCTTTCTTTGTGCCTTTTGAATTTTCTCAAAATAAGAGCCTTTTCTAATTTTTGTTTAATGACGAAAATAAAAGCCACAGGGAAGGATGATATATCGCAGTTTAGATCAAACTACAGTGAGACGTTATTTGTTGTTGACTTGTGAAGGATGAAGTTAAATGCACAAAATTAGTGCGATTCAGAAGTTATACGTATATTATTGCATCAAGAGAAAGGTGATAATAGCTTTTAATGAAGACAAGGAAATTAAAGTGGAAACATCTAATTCTTTATTGTTTCTTTTCCTTTTCAGTGAATTAATCTAAAAGTGTTACTTTTGACCTGTCTTCATTTTTATCGCATCATTGCAAATTACTAGTACATACATTTATTTATCTGTCTGTTAATGCTGTGTTAGGGGAGGTGACAACTGTTAGCACTTATACTTTCTCTTAGTTTTCATAGCAGAATTGCATTGCTTCGTGTTTTTACATGCTAAGTTTGCTATGATGATATGTTTTCATTGTATTTTTAAATGGGAAATATTGTTACGTGACCATTTGCTTAAGTGAGAAATAGAATACTACTGGTTTCTTGATTACCTCATTTTAGCATACGTTAGAAATCACTTTGTCCGGTGGGGTTATTTTGTTTGCTTATTTAATTTGAGACAAATGAAAGAAGCAGTATTGTAGTAATAAAAATGTTGCTTGAATAGGAGTAGTTTTTTAATAAATTGTGCAGTTACAAACGCATGAAAAATTATTAATTTGTTGAACAAAGAAAAAATTTGAGACAAATGAAAGAAGCAGTATTGTAGTGAATAATAAAAATTTTGCTTGAATAGGAGTAGTTTTTTAATAAATTGTGCAGTTACAAACGCATGAAAAATTATTAATTTGTTGAACAAAGAAAAAACAGTTTGAATTGTGATAGTTTTTCAAGTAGTAATTATCACGTGTGCGTGTTTGTTCGGGAAATCGAGACTGTGTGATATGTGGATATATGGGGATAAATATCGAGCTTGAGTTTATTTGGTCTTGATGTACTATAACTTGAAGCATTCTTGTTTGCATTTCAGATAGAAGAAAAAGGAACGGATCCAACTCATGATCTTAATCTCAAAGTTCGTTATTTCATGATATATTGCACTTCTCTTTTTTCTGCTTGCTTTTCGCTTAATTTATTCATCAAATGGATATTTCGCTTCTGCAAAAAATTTTCGTTATTTTTGGTTGTAAATAATTTTTTTAAAAGTTCACTGCTATTTAATTTCTATCATTGCTAAGTCATCAGTTTTTCATCGCTATTTTTATCTACTGTTCTGAATTGAAATATAATTATTCTGGATCGTATAAAATGGTGAGGAAATAAGTCTTTGGAAATTACTGCAATTAAGATTTACTGAAAAGAATGACTTCTTTTTCTAGTATTAAATTCACTTCCAGTTGTGGTAGGTCTCTTTTTTAGGTAGTAAAATTCGAATCTGTAACAGAACGCGAACGATCTTTAAATCGGCTTTCATTGGGCAGGTCTCCAACAAAGATGCCAACGCAGTTAATACATCCAGCAGATGATGATGAGTCTGGTAAATGTGATATGTTGAATGAAAGATATAAGTAACATCAAATTATTGGAGTGGTTATTTGATCAGATACGTCTATTGTAATGAAAATTCAAATTGTCTCTTCTAACATCTATTTGTTACAGATAGTGATGAACCACTTTTATCTGGTTCAGGTGCTGTTAATCAGGAATGTCCTGAAGATGTACTTGATGCTTGGAAAAAAATTTTGGATGAATGGAAAGCGAATCCTGAAGGGTATATTCTTGGTTCTTGGGAAGGGATCACTATTAGTGTACTTCGCGATCTAAGCTATCGCTCATTACATTGCAGTGTTTTATAATTTTATTTGTTCGTTGATCAGTAAAACTAGCAAGAAGTAAAAATTATTATTCATTCTAGCTGGTTGTTAAAACTTATAAACCTGTAATTATTAAGGACTCGACCAGAAGGTTTAGCTGATTTGATGCGTAATGGAGTACCTGATTTGTTGCGCGGTGAAGTCTGGCAATATTTGGCTAAAGTTCAAATTGATCCTGATCTCACCCAAACATATCGATTACTACTTGGAAAGGTACGTATTTCAACAGTTATAAATTATTCGCTCTTTAAAAGAATATATTTAGTAAATAGAGAAATTCAATGGTTTGATTTAGTAGAGTTTTCTTTTGCTGAATCGAAACCTGAATATTTATCAAAACAGACAGTCTTATACTTACTGATAAATATCCAAAATAATATCTGCCAAATTTTTGGCATTTTATTAAATTTATAGTTACAGGAATGTCCTTCCGAGCAGGCTATATTAAGAGATATTCATCGTACTTTTCCTGCCCATGAATATTTCAAAGAAACTGGTGGTGAGGGACAAGAATCGCTGTACAGAATCAGTAAAGCCTATTCCTTATATGATGAAGAAATCAGTTATTGTCAGGGATTGTCCTTTTTAGCTGCTGCTCTCTTGTTACATGTGATTTTTTGTTTTCTATTCTCTATTGCACTCGTCAGCAAACCTTTTATCATCCACACATGCATGCTAGCTCACAGCAAACAGTATTTCTCTTAAGCCTGAAAACTAAGCTAGAAGCCATTTTCTAAATGCTTAATCAATCTTAGGCATACAGCTAGGTGGAATTTACATTTTCATTAATGCTGACAAGTGATATTTTACAGACAAGAAAAATGTAAAGTAATAAAATCAGAAAAGAAGTAGGTAGAGAATTAATGTAAAAAAAAATATTTTATCCTTTTAAATAAGCATGATTGCAGATGCCTGAAGAACAAGCTTTTTGTACGCTTGTAAAAATAATGTTCGATTATGGATTGCGCGATTTGTTTAAACTTGGTTTAGATGTTTTGCATTTGCGGTTTTATCAACTTCAAAGGTTAACAGAGGTAATTTAAAATTTGCGTAGGCACTCTCTCTCAAGCTTTATTTAAATACATACATTGCTTTGAGCGAAGCTAAACAATTATTCCATATATTTACAATTAATTTGCTAGCCATGAAGTGACTATTATGTTTATGTTTATAAAAATCTCTTTGTTATGGAAAAATCAATTATCTATGTTCTAATCCATTTTTCTATACCAGAGGGATTTTCAAATCCTTCTAAAATTATTAATACTTAAATTTTCCGTCTGCATCTCAAATATTTCTAGGACTATGTACCGGATTTATTTGCTCATTTTTATGATCTTGGTGTTGAAACACACATGTATGCCTCACAGTGGTTTCTCACTCTATTTACTGCGAAATTCCCTTTGCAGATGGTTTATTTTATCGTGGATCTGTTTCTGAGTGAAGTGAGCAAATATTTGTTGCACCGTTAAATTTAATAGATGTTCTTTAAAAAAACGCCTCCACTAAACTTTTATTACAGCAGAGATTGTATGTCGTTGATTTTGACTTATTTGATTTTAGGGTATGAATACGATATTCCACATTTCATTAGCTTTGCTTAAAGCATCCAAGAAAGAACTGCTGCAGCTGGATTTTGAGGGTGCACTTAAATATTTTCGCGTTGCCTTACCTAGGTGTTATCGTACGGAAGCAAATGCGAAAGAATTAATTCATCAAGCTGTTAAGCTAAAGGTCAGTTTTTTTATTTTTTAAATAACAGGAAGAACCCTTTTCAAAGCATAATAGAATGTTTTCATATCTAAACAATCTTTCAGCTTGTACGAATAAGAGGTAATTAATGAATCAATATTTTGAACATATCAAATTAGAAAAATTTATTTTCAGATAAGCCATAAACGACTATCAAAATACGAAAAAGAGTTTTATTCGTTAAAAGAACGAGAACTTGAATCTCAAGATCCAATGGAACGTTTAGAAGTTGGCTGTTTCTTAATTAATTTACTTATTTAAAAATTTTTCATATATGTATTGCCATGAAATTTCTTATTTCAGCGAGAAAATCTCAGATTGAAAGAAACTGTGATGCGATTAGAAAGAGAAAACGATGATTTGGCACATGAACTTGTAACCAGCAAAATAGAGCTGCGAAAAAATCTAGACACTGTAAATGACTTCAGAAGTTTCGATAAAAGCGTATTCATATCATTAATTTATTTTTCTTGGGTTCATGAAATAATTTGCAGGCAGAAGATAGTGTCGAAAGTTTACAAGGTCAACTTGAAAGATGTATGCGTACAGCTAAAGATCTTGAAGATGAAAACAGTGGGCTACGAAATGAGTATGATCAGGTGCTTTTTACTTAGTTTGTTTTCTTTAGAACTTGCTTTAAAAATCTGATATCCACTTTAAGTAATTGGAATTTATGTTTGCCTCGATTTTGAATTAGCTTTTTACGAATGTTTCTATCATAATGGAAGATACTAGTTTTGCTAAATATTTTTTTTAATACTCACTAAGTCAAAGGATTTATGTTAAGAAGTTTCTGAATTATCTTCTTATAATTACTAGCATTTGTTCGATTTGCAGATAAAAGAGATGTGTCGAAGAGAAGTCCAACGACTCGAATCAGAAGCACTGCGTTCTCAGAGTATTATTGAAAATTACAAAGAAATCTGCTCTGATCTCAGTTATCGACTAGAAAAGTTGCAAAATGATTTGAATTCTCAAAAAAAACAAATTGGTGTAAGTTTGTGTTATCCGAAAATATTTCAGTGATAATTTTTCGGGCGAATTTTTTTGCAGACAGTAATTTGTCACTGCCACCAGTGTTCTGCAGCACTTGCTGAATTTACCGAGCAAAGAAGTGGAAGTCCATCAATAAAGGTATGAACGTTAGTTCTTTTGCAATTACCATTCTTTTCATCATAAAATTTATCAAACTGAAAACTTTGCTGGCAGTTTCAGACTTTGTGATTTTGTTCTTGGTTTGAAGAGATCCATTTGCTATGTGAATTGAAAAAACCACTCCATTTTTAGCTCTCTCCAACAGATAACGATGGTTGTGGTCTCAAGATGATGGAATTAATGAATAAACTCGAGGAAAGTGAACAACATGTGAGGCAGTTAGAGCTCAACCTTGCTCAAACTAAGCTTGAGTTAGTAGAAGCTCAGTGTAAAAATCAAGACCTCAATCATCAGGTTAAAATTAACTTGTTCGTTTACTTACTCATTGGTATACAAAGCGAAAAGTAAATTTAAGAGCGTGAGTTCAATAACTTCACGCTTATTATTTCATGTTTCGCGAAAAAATAGCATGCTGCGTGTGCGATGCTTGTTAATAATAGCTTCGTTCCTTTTATGTCATGCAACAAAAACCATTGTAATCTGTGGTCGAAGTTTCTGAGTTTCATTTGCTTTCAAAATTTTTGAAATCTTCCGTTCACAGTAATGAGTGTAACGGAAGAAAAAGGTGTACTCAAAAAGTCTTGGAATAAAATTATAGGAGTAATAGTTTTTTGCTATTTTTAGGTTAGAACTCTGTTTCATTATGTAGAATTTTTGCTACTAGACATTTTGTTAAAAATCTTCATGGAATGTAGGAAGCGACATTTTTCCAGATGAGTTCATCAGTTAGTAGCGATAATGATGGCAAACATGCGGCTTGGTTGAGAAAAACGATTTCTTCAATTCGCGATGTAGGAACATCGTTAAAACAACCTAGTCACGAGCGGAGTAACAGTAGTCTCTCTGTTGAGAGATGATAATTTTTAAAGAAATTTATATATTTTGGCCGGTCATTTTACGCTGTATAGTTTTTCATTGACACCTCTTTATTAAGTCACTTTCCTCATTATTTTCAACTTATTTAGGTGTTTGTAATTTTGTAGAAAAAATGAAGTAGTCATTTTTGAAAAGTTAAATTTTTTTTATCATAGTTAGGTTTTCTTAATGCTTAAAGTACCGAAGTAGGACAACGTGAACAGCATTTAAAAGAGGATTATAAGCACAGTTTGTAAATAAACAGGGATAATAAATTTCAACGAATTTATACTTCTTATTGCCTTACTTTTATGAAAATTTAATTTTACTAAGTTTTCATTTTGTGCATATGGAAGTTTTTAAACTATACGTCTCATACTGTACTTAATTCATATTGCATTATGTAATGTATAGTATTTCTAGATTATATATATAGGGATTTAATTAAAGAATATATATTATAGAATTAAAGTGCTAAGAATCTTTCCGGATGTTTTGTGATTGTCCGTTATTTGTACCATTTTTTTTCGAAACCATGGGCTTATGGTATCGTCCTTGGTTTAGCTTGCAATTTTTCCTTGTAATCGTTATTTCTGCACGCTTTCACTTTTCAAAGTTGTTTCTCTTTTAGTAGTTAGTGGTTAGTAGTTGTATTGCGAAACTTAATATTTTACTTGTTTCCTTAATATTTTACTTTTGGAAAGGAGAAGTTAAATTCTGGTCATGCTCCGTCGGTTTCTGCTCATAAATTCTGCGGTAGGTTTTTATTTCACTTATAAGTTCTAGACAACTTTCCAAAATTAAGGATGATTGTTGATAGGAGTCAGATTTAAATTCGAGCATTAAGGATTTTTTTCGTGAGCAGAATTGGATTCTTTATGACTAAGTTATTTTTTGTTATACATTCGATTATTTCTGCCATCATAACATTCCTTATATTGTTTCAGAATAATTTTTAATGTACGCTTCGTTTTGATTGCTTCGTTTACAACTTTATCTTTGCTATCTCCTGAAAAGGTATTTTCATTTTGCATCTAGCATTACTACGGTCAGTATTGATGGAAGTTAAATGTTTACTTTTTCAGTTCATTGAAGCCATTCCTTCTTGTATCTCTAGGCTGATTGTATGTCTTGTATAAGCTGTTCAAAGTGGTGGAAGTATTTTGTTATTGTTGAAATCGTTTAGTATCCATTATTTACTGATTAGCGCATGAGATAAAAAATTTGAAAATTTTGGTATCACAGAATTGTTCACTCAGCGCACAGAGATTGTTTTGAATAAATTTTTTACATATTTGTTTAGTACACTTTGATTGAGTGTATGAGTACAAATCCATTTATGAATGGGAGCTATCCATGCCTGGTTCGATTAATATGCAGACTTCTATTTCATGTGTAATGTTGTTGACATGCGTATTATTTTTCTTCTATGCCTACCCTTTGTACGCTCATGTATCCATTATGGTTCCAAGCCACGTTCAGCTTTTACTATTTATATGATTGTTAATCAACTTCGAGACCACATGTACATTCTTAATAGTCGCAACTGTGTATAAATTATCAATTTACAACTCAAATTAACTTTACCATGAGGAGTTATTGGAAATATTTGTTGAAAATCAAACTTTTGATTCTTCAACATGAACATAATCTTGTCTCAGCCAAACAGTTCCAGCCAGGAACCTTTATAATTATAGTATTGGTAACGGAAGAAGACATCTTTCGTATTCATTCATCTTCCAACAACGAAGTAAAATCTTTCACGCACTCACACACTTACTAAATAAAAATGAACTTCCACAATGGAAAGATAATGATACAGACAGAATGCACATCATGAATTCTTCCTTTGCAATCATTCATACCTTCTCATCTATTCTCTTCCATTTTCATTTTATTTATCCATAGAATGTCTCAATCAAGTTAACTCACAAGTAGAAATGAAAAATTCTTTGAAAAATATCTGCATATAATTTGATAATGGCAACTCCAGTTTCAACCTTGTGGAAAAGAATTTTAAGTGTCAAGAAACAGAAATTTGTAATTGTACAAAATCTGCTCATTAAATATCCAAGCAGCTTTCATCATTATCGCTACAGGTAAATGTCATACGGTGAGAATCCAAGATAACTTTTTTGCCCAACAATCTGGCAAAATCTTGATACACATTAAGAATTATGACCAATTAGAAATGTAATGACCCAGATTATTACAAAAATCACAAACAATCATGCCTACCTAGAAAATGCCAGCCGACTAGTTTTATTATATGTAAAAGATTGTAATCATTCTTATTTTTTTAGGAACGGATTGGCTAGTTTTTGTGCTACCCCAAATCTCTCCTTCTTTCGAGCACAAGTTCTCGTGACAAAATTTACTGAGTAGTTACTTTTGTCATTTTACCTTACTTTTTGAAGATGCGATTCTGAACTGAAATTGATGCAGCAGTCAATAAAAATTTTTTCGTTATTATCTCATCACTTTTTAGATAAAAAAGCAATCCACAAAAAAAGTCATAGATGGATGGCATGGCTGCTATTGTAGTATATTCATGCAGCAATTTAATTTGATAATTGAATAGTAATTGAAATGCTTTTCTTTGCAAAACAAGAAGGAGAATTTTTACGCTTAAGATTTTGAATGGCAATGATTCGCACGCTACTTTAAGAGCAATGGTTGTTTTATTGCTTACAGATTAGCACGAGTCTTTTGTGGCGAAGTAAAAGATAAACGAAAAAGTTGCACAGATTTCATCCATTCACGATTTTTAACTGCTTTAGAAAGAATTGTGTCAGTATCAAACACATTACTTCTTTAGATTTGTATTTGTCACCCACCAAACGTTTATTTAAGTACACTTAGAATCACTACAACATGCTTGTCAAATATATCCTAGTAGCTTCTCTTTTCTCAATTAATAATAAATGTTTCAAGAAAAGGGAATAAAGTAAGTAGTTTGGCAATAAAAGAAATGTGTTTTTCAGGAATTTCTCCATTTTTTCTTCTCTTCCTGAAACCAGGGAGCGAAACACTTAAGAACTCTAGGATATCCAATTTCGGACAACTTTCAGATTGGTCGCTACTGAAAACACGGTATTACTAATTTTAGAAATATGACTTACTGCTCAATAATTATACGAAATTACATCTGAAAACTATTTGAAGAACAAATAATAACAATGTTAATCATTGCAGCCAATTTTTTTCTTACGTTTCAAAGCCGTCGACTTTGGATACTTCGTCTGGTAAATATACATAAGAGTAAGTAAGAGCAATTGATGATAGTTTCTGGCAAGCACGTGAAAAATATTTCAATTCTTTAACCTCAAGCGTACAACCACGCAAATCCAAATGTTTGAGTGCACCAAAAAGTTGTTCAGCTGATCTTAAATTTGGCTTTTGTGGTTACGAAATTCGATGTTATGAGTAACTGTGATATGAAATAAATTATTGTACCAAACAGCAGTGTTCACATAAGATACATTTCAAAGGTTAGTTACCACTTTCAAAAAATTCTTCACTGAAAAAACGCTTGATTTACTACTAGTCACAAATTTCATGGTGTTCCACGCCTTCTATACTCTTGTAAAGTTTCATAAAATAAAATTTCATAGTGAATCTGACTTCCATCTATACCTTTAATCGTTCAGCTTTAATTGTTCTAATCGTTAATATATTCGAAACAAAAATGCGACAAACTTTTTAGTGATAATTTCAATGTCGTAAAAATTTTGCACGTGTAGTGAGCAGATAGGATTAAAAGTAACGCTGCGCAGTGTATAGGCAGGTATTAATTGTAAGGCGCGCCCAACTTCTTTACGCATAGCATATAGTGAGCCTAGCTTTTGTGAATTTATGTATGGAAAAGTTTTTTGCATCAAAAGTTGAATGTTAAGGTCATACCTAGACTGCCAGTATAATGCAGTAGCCTAAAATATACTAATTTAACAGTATAGTAAAAATGTAATTATTCTGATAAACTTACAGAAATATTTTAGAAAAGTAGTAGAAAAAAGTTCAGAATATTTATAACAGAACAGAATGCCTAAAATCTTTACTTACCAAATGAGCTCTAGTGCAGGTACTGCGAAAGCATCTTTGGTCATTAATATTCAAATGATGTACAATTTGTATCAGTAAAGCTGTCGGTAAAGTTTCAAAGGGAGATAATTCACGGCATTTCGGAGCATCTACTTCTGTTTCATTCGAAAAAACTCGAACTTTGCGACGTGGAGTAAATCCCTCGAATGAAAATATTCATTCCATATTATGCATTTTGAATTTTTTTTGAAAGGTAATAATTGATAAGAAGTTAAAAATATTTGCCATCGGAAAGTAAAAAATTTGAGCATTAAATAAGCTTTATTATTGAAAAATGGAAATTTGACAATGTGAAAAAATCATTTTCAGAGCTCAGAGCTTAGATCCAAGGCTAATAAATGATTCTTATTCAACTTTTAACCGAATAAGAATTGTTAAATTGTTTGCGTTTTCGTGCATTAGACTGCATTTGCTGCACGTTTTCTTTTGGACTTTTCTGATTCTCATCCTTAGAATTCAGATTCTCCTTTTTTTCCATTTTCTCTAATTTTTATAGAGTTTAAGATTCAGACATTTTTTTAAAGCATTTCAGAGTTATTCACAGCTAATACAAATGATCATTTGTAAGGAAGTGAAACATAATTCCTTATAAAAGGAATTAAGACTGAAAATAGAATAACCAATTGAAGTAAAAATAAGTAAATGACAATGCTTACCTTTTAAGTGAGTTTTCTAAAGAACTTTCTTGAATGACAGAACTATTTGTTAGATTATTTGTTAGATTGTTTATCTGATTTTAATTTGATATCTGGAATAGAAGAATTAAATTGCTGGCATATAGAAAATGACAAAAAACTAAAAAGTAAGAGCAAGGTACAGACCGATAAGCTAGTGATCGAATATCAAAATAACTTTACTCGACCTAATAAACATATTTAAATTGTATAAGTCATAATTGTCGATTTATCATTTTGAAGATTTATTTTGAATAACTTCAGTGGACTAATTAATTATTGTTTATGAAGCAAGTAGCAAAAAACGTTATACTTGAAGTGAAGTTACAGAAAATGCATAGCAGTGCATTTGCATTCATCTGATTGATAACTAACTGAAATAAATCTATCGAAAAATTCTACATTGTTCATTTTGCTGCAGATGTGTCAAATATCTGAAATGTATCTTTTACACACATTTTAGTTTTGATTCACCATTGTCAATTTTATGGGCTATTTTCCACATAATACAACTTTATACTATCGAATCTGAGTGTTTATATATATGTTGACATGATTTCATGCTTTTTCTTCATTTCAAGATTGACGAAGTGCGAGAATAGGGAAATATTTTTCACATAATTCTCATGATCGCTGACTGATATCCTTATTAAGTAAAAGCCGTCTGTCACTGAGTAACCTTTCCCATACAATTGGAAAATTATTATTTTGCATGCATTATTGCAAAAGTCAGTGAAAAATTACTGCCATCGGTTGTCTGATTATTTTCTTGATATTTTGAGACAATTTAGAAATCAGTAGGTAATTTACACACGTGAATCAAAGTCGAGATCTTTAGCTTCTAATCCTCTTAATATCCAACGTTAACTTTTAATGTCTATAAAAAATAACTTTTTGCTTTTAAATTCACTAATTTCAAGCAACACTAAGTCTAGATTTAATCCAGTTTAATAACGGATTTTCATGGGGAATTGTCGATGCAAATTCATTAACAAGCTCCATGACATATGTATTTGACGATATAAATAAATACAATTATTACAAACAAATTTGAACTAAAAAAATCTAACATCTGAAGAACACATAAGTCATCAAGATAAAAATTTGAAAAATAACATAGAGACGACAATAAAATCATTAGACCATAAATGATCTTACCACTGTCTTTTTAATTTTCAAATTGAAATACTGAAAAATCAAGTCCCCAATTTTTTAAATTCGTACGAATTTCTGCTTTAAGAAGCATTTCCAAAACTGATCCAGTAATTTGAATACCACAGATGATGCGGAGAAAAATCAATAAAGTGTACGAGAAACAATTTGGCAACAGTAGCAAACACCACTTTTCATGACGAACGATTTTTGAAAATAATCAGTACAAAAGATTGATGAAGTCAACATGCGATATATTATGTAAAGAAAATAAAATTAAGATATGTACAAGACAAGAAAAGATATATCAGTAGCACTATAATGAATAGTGATAACAGAATAACAAATACGTCAGGTCCACTTCTCGAGTGCTTACAACAGAGTTTCCACCGCAAAAAAATGGTTGTTCGTAAAATAAAGAGTATAATGCAACTAACATTATATAAAACCCGAAGAGATATGTAATCACATCTTGTGTAATAATATGCACTGCAAAAAAACTAACTGCATGTATGAAAATGCAAGAATGTATGCATGAAAATAATAATTCCCGAGTGACGAGAAATAACGACGAAGATCAAAACAGCGCCAGACAAATTTTATTAACGAGATGAGTAGTCGTAAAACAGAGGTAAAAGAGAACTTGGTAGATGGAATAATCCTGTACCTGTTATATCACATTCCAACCGCATCATTGCAACCTGAAAAGTTGACAAACGATTTCGTACTATAAGCATTCTACAACAAATACTTGTTGATTAACTTAGCCATAATAATATAAAAACCATTAATAACCCTTTCAAAGTTTTGAAAATAGTTTTGTATAAGGTTTCTCACATAAATACAATTAATAAACACCAGATAAGGGAAGAAATAGTAAGTAAGTGAAATTATATTATATATAATCGTAAAAAAGCAAATTATAAAGAAAAGTGTGCTATTTATTCAACTTTTGCTGCAACAAATTTTGCCACATTTGAGCTTGATTACACTGGTATTAGAAAGTGAACTAAAACACTCTACGGATCAATATGAACTAACTTGATTGGGAAGTGTTCCATTAAAAGATAAAGCAGGCAAGATGAGCGCCAAACGTGGTTGTACAGTACCATCATGAACTATAGCTGGTAGCAAGTAGTAGTTCTTAAAATTTTTGGAAATATTTGAACAAAACTACACTAAAAACACTAAATAAAAATGACATCAATACAGCATCGCTACTTAATATACTACTGAACAATTGTACTTAAAAAATAGAAACAACAATAGCAGGCCAATATTATTTCAAAACGATGAAGCAATAACCTTCATAGCTATTACGAAAAGAGTATCATCTCGTTGTTTCAAATTTCGGGCAAGCTCAGCATACAGGAACTCCATATCCCGAATTTTTAGTGAATCTGGTTTATGATGCAACCAGTTCGCTAGGAAATGGTTTTGATTTTCATTATAATCCATTGATTTCCTGTCACGAAAACAAAAATCTGATAGAAAGGTACCTCATATTTGATACAAAATGGTCAAAACAAAAACAAGACTAAAAATGACTAAAAGCTATAACAAAAAGAGTATCATCTCGCTGTTTTGGTTAAAACGGGTAAAAAAATGGTTTGATTTAAAAACTTGTCAAGAAGAACTGCTACAAATAATTTTTATTTCATTGACTTCTTTCCAAGTGATTATTAGATTAAAAACAAATGAATACAACTGTGATCTGACTGATGATGTGCTTTCTCCATTAGAACTGATCATGTTGATATGTTTCCAAGTACGTTCACGTACCGCTTTTAAACGTGCAGCCTCTACTTTATCCATTATTGTCCTAAAGAAGTCTCGACAAAAGAAAGAAATATAATTAAAAAACCGAAATATCAAGAAATATTACTTGAGTTTTCGGCACTCCTGTCACCAATTTTAAGCGAAGTTTAAAAATTTTTCATGCGTTCACAACTCAGAATCAATAAGCTGCCATATAATAAATGAAAAGGATAGTTTGAATGTTCTAAAATCATTAGTAATACAATGAATTTCTAAGATTAAACATATAAATATACCGTTGTTTACTAGTTCCATTTTTTAATTTTTTGCCTTGCTCATATTTCTGTACTGGTTTGCCTAGTTTCTTTGAGATCTCACGCGTCTGAATAGGAACACGGAATATGCGCCGAATATGCACGAATTTCAAACATTCATGCCGATTCACCCAAGCGAAAACATCCTTGTTTAACCTGAAATTAATCTTCCAAAAAAGAACTTAACAAAACTTTACAAGAATATATGTGTTCAAATTGAAATTGCAAGAAAATAAATAACGAAAGAAAAGAGCATGGAGAAAAAAATTATTAAAGTTATGAGTTTCAACAATTACTCTTCTCAATCTTAGAAAGACTAGAAATACCGACATTTTGATCATATATTTGGAGAGACTTTCGAAACTTAAATTTATATAACATAGATTAAGGTTGCGAACACATATTTTGTGTATTAGCTACAAAATTTAAAACAAATTTGAGTTATAAATTTGCATATGATCATTTATTGTTAAGGTCCGGTCAATAAAAATGTTCCCCATATAAGAGAAAAAACAAAAATTGAATTTAACAATATATGATTAAAAATTCAAGATTTCTAAAAATTCGGGAAAAAAAAACAGGAAAATGATGTAAGGGACCTGAGTTAGTCTGAAAATCTTGACCACATAACTGAAAATTAAATTTGAAGGTTTTTAAAATTAACCTCATTGCTTCAGTTTCATTTAAAAACTTTTTCGATGCATTATCACAGTTAGCTAAATTGCTCATATTTGACCTTGAGAAAGTTACCAAATCCTTAGTAGACGGTGATTTAATTCCTGACATATATGTCTGTAATTTATGCGTTTAAATATGCTTGCTCACCATAGTATTTTGAATCAGTTTTCAAATAACAACTCAATTTAGAAATCATGCAAAACAATAAGTTTTTATAAAAAAAGATAAATAAAGCAATTATTCACTTCTTTTCGTTTGAAATCCAATGAAAAAAAAGTTGGATTGATTTGTTCGTTCGCTTCCAAAGAATACACATCTGACTTTAACAGATTTCGTGAAACTAGACTTGTTTCCTGAATTGTGTTGGAAGTCCTGAAACCGCTTATTTTTAATATCAGGAGAGACGGACTTGTAGACTAACCGAGCACACTGAAATGCAAAATTTAAAGAAACATGAAACTTAGCTGTCATAAACATTGCTTAAAGAAAATAATGCGACGAATCCGAAAATGCAAGTTACACCAGCAACAAATCCCAAATTGCCCCGATTAACTGATTTTGACTTCAATTTATCATTCTGAAGATGAAGAAATATATCCAATATACAAGAATAACAAATAAATATAGTAATGCACAACAACTGAAATAATACCTATGCATAAGTATTATTTTGTGTATTAAATCTAGTTTTCTACTTTTAGATTCCAATAAGCCCAGAGCACTATCACTAGCTGTTCTATTCATCATGACGGTATAATGAATCCGAATAGTATCGCACCATACAAAAATTTTTTCCTTTGTAATGGATTTTTATATCAGTTAAAGATGCATTTTTTGCTTTACTGACTAAAAAAAGTGAGGCACTTACCTCATTCCGCAAAAATTCCAGATCTTTTTTTAAATTTGTGACTTCATCTTTTAAATCCTGAATAATCGCATCTTTCTTAGCCAAATTTCGTTTCATCTCAATGATTTCCTGAAACACAAAAATGATAGAAGCACAAAATATTTAAGTAATAATAGCATTTTGAAACCAACGTTTTTTTTCCGGATTCGAGAAAGCTGTGCAGAATATCGATTTCTTAGTTTTCTAATTTCTTTTTTACGATTGTAATCCTGAAACAACATGATGTATGCAAAATTTAAAAGAAAATTTTGAAACTTAAAACCACTAAGTGACAAAGAGAAGTAAATTTCCCGAAATTCAAAATGACAATTATCCAATTACTATCAGTAAAATAACAAAATTTTTGTATAAACATACCATTTCGTCTAAACTTATATCACCGACGGAATATAACATTTCGTTGCCAACACCTAATTCATGCTTCAAACCCTTTTCGCTAACATTCAATAATGTTTTGCTTGTTAACGTTTTTCCATTCTGAAGTGATAAAATTAAGATTAAAACTAAATGATATTATAAATATTGAATGAATAGTATCATTTAGTTAGGAACATATGGTGCATTTTCAAATACGTTAAGAAATTTCTGACAAAAATACTGAGTAAACAGACTACATAAAGTAACAAACAAATAATATAATAAATTTTAATTTCAACAACCTTCTTGGTGGAGTCTAGATGTATCAATGTAGGCGATGATACATGATGCATGGGTAAGAGAAGTTTTTGATCGATCTGACCGACAGGTTTTTGAAACTAAATTCCAATGTTCTCATTCTTATATGATAATGAAATAACTCCTTATATTCTTTGTAAAATCAGTAATGAAATGCATTTCGCCATGATACAAAGTTGTCAAAGGCTTTCAATCAATTACTTGAAACTCACTTTGGCAGTACTCTGAACTGATGTTGGCATAATATATATCACTGGGTGATATGTGTTCTTCCGATTTGTCAGAAGCTGAAAATTTTTCAAACTTAAATGAGATTTTCATTAACGGTTCAATTTCCGAAAAATATAACCGAGACTTCTTTTACAAAACTTGATATCAAAACAGAATTTGGTTTTAATACAAGTCGAATAATTTTGCAGAAAAAACAATTTCATTATTTCTCTCGAGAATTAATAGTGAGCTTTTTCGAATCAATTGCAATTTTTTTAAAAACATTTCAAAATATATTTCAGTGGTAGTGTATCTACATATTAAACTTGCTGAACTGGAATGTGCACTGGGACGAGATTCTTTGGACGATGTAATGAAGTTATCTTTGTTTGCGTCTGATCAGTCTGTGATATTTGAATAACATTATTTATTCGGTCACCGTCAAAACAGTTTTGATCCTGTAATTATTCATCAAAATCTATGAAATTTAAACAAACAATATTGTTCTGTACATACAAAAATAATAATGCTATTATGGTATCAAATCCTAAAAGGCCAATAATGTATTTCTTATTCCTTATTCCTTTCTTTTTCTATCACCCGTTTTTTCACAAAAATTTTTCATAAGTAGCACAAACTGATCAGCAAATTATTCCGTTAAGTTATAAAATGTGCATACAGTATCGTTCAATTATAGAATATGTATTCGAAAACATTCAAAATATACATCTGAAGAACAAGTTGGCGAGTGATTTTCAGATTCACTAGTAGAGGATGAAGAACTGTCACACAAAATTTGATTAATGAAATTATCGTCAATCTTAATGGAATTATCAATTGAAAAATCTGATATTTCAGTTTCCATATTACCAATCTGTGAGTTTACATTCATCTCCAAATCAGTAGCTGCATTTGAAAACTGAAAGTTTAAACATTTGAATACGATATGAACAAAAGAATAAAAACGTGAAACTTATTTCAAACTTCAGATTATACAGAAAAAAGAAAGAACTTATTTAAAGGAATATATTTGCCAAAGTTCTGTAAGAAGATATAGTTTTCAACAGAACAAGAAGGCATCAAAAATCTGAAAACCAATAAAATTTTAAACCTTAGTAGTAGACTCTTCCAAAAAGTTATTAGAACTGAGCTCTAAATTATATGGAGAAAATATATTTGTTGAATGAAACTGATTAAAATCATTGCTGATAAGGTTATAGTTATCATTGCAATCCATGCTGAAAATAATCAAGTTTGAAGCTAAAATTAACATCACACAGATGATAACCACAAAATACATATGTTTAAATCATTTAAAACTTTCTATCAAGCAAAACAAGCAAAAAACGAATCAAAACATATAAAGTAGGCAAAAAATGAATGAAAACACATAAAATTCGCAGCCAGTAGTCAAGAATCAGACAAGAACAACAAATATTAACATGGAAGATAAAAACTTCGATATGTGAAAGAAAATACCGTAAATAATTAAACGTAAAATTGATAGTCTGATGATTTGTAATGCGGATTAGATCAAAAGTTATAATTTTCGAAAAATACAGAACAAATACGACGTACCATACCAACAAACGCCTGAGTAAGCAGTAAACCCACTCATACATTTGAAAATACAACACACACACAGTTCAATCAAAAAGTGCCTCATAAGTTGTTGGCTATTCGTGTGCAATCCTAACAAATGCTGGCTAATCACTTCCTGAGCCTAACCAAAGCGGGAGTTTTTTTGTATTTGCAAATAACGTCGTGTAGTGCTTGCATTAATTTTAATACTAGCGTAATTGGTCGTTGACATTACTTTGCTCGTAACTTTGGATCAATGGACTCGAAAAAGACAGGAGCAGTTAAGTACTGGGTTAGTCAATTTGTCATCATATTTTCGTGTTTGGCTTGACTAAATATCTTCATAAATTGTTGCTAGTGGACGCAAAGTGCGCAACATTTATTTGAATCAGAACTTTTTACTGTTTTCCTTTTTCTTTCATCCATGCTTAGAATTGATTTTGCTTTGAGTATTTACTTTTTGTGGTAGTAATCTTTAGAAAGTTTTTTTCATTCATTTTATTCATCCTTTAAATGCTTTTAACTTAATTGCTTATCTCATCTGAAGTATTCTCAAGCAACTTATCATTGAATAAGTCAGATAATTACAAGATTAATGTCTAAATATTTTTATTGCAGTTCCAACAGCTATTGAAAATCAAGCTTGGAATTAACGCAGTCGATGGTTGGGCTCCTCTCTACAAACGTCACATTCCAACAATCACTCATCTCTTGTGAGTTTCTTATCGTTACGAGAACTACAGCAAATTTTTTTCTATCGTTTTGTACGTATGTATAATGTAGTTTTGCAATTTCTTTTTGATATTGTTCAAGTTTCAGGACAAAAGGTGAATTTAGACTTTGTGAGGAGAGGTTGAGTGAAGATTCATATTTAAAAGCATATAAGGCTTTGAAAGATCAAGCAATAGATGCTTCTTTTCTGGAACACTTGAAACCAGATTTGGCAGCTACGGGCGATAATTTTGAAGTGGCGAAATTTTTGATTATTTTGCTAAACGAATTACGAATCAGTCGTGAAGCAGTTTTTGAGGAAGATTATGGGTTGACGGATGATCAAAATGCTCAGATCAAATCTATTCTTCATTATTTGGAAGATCAAGAGAATTGGGATTCCTATGAGTCATGGCCAGCTGTACTTTTTGAAAGTGACAATGAATCGTGCAAATCACATAATTTTAGTACTCCTAAGGTTTGTTTCTTTTTTTTTGTCTTTATTCATATAATCAAGCTCTCATTGATACCATTGCAGTTGGTGAAACATGATACTTCTTTCTTTTTGAAAAATGATCAATTTTAGCTTTGGTCAGCAGATTTTTCTTATGAAAATCTAAAGCTATTTAAGATTCATTGGAGAAATCGTGAAATCGCAGTTAGCGAGATATCAAGCACAAAACGCAGTCCCCTGTCAGACATCATTTCTTCACCTCGTTCTCGTGAATTAAGAATAATTCGAGACAAGGACCGAAAAATAAAGGTTATCTTACTCATTTCTCTGTTTAATTTTTAATCAGTTCCTTAATCAAAATTAAATGATAACATGCAAAATTGTTTCAATATTTTAGGTTTTAAGTGATCGATGTAACTTGCTTGAATATGAAAGAGATAATATGGAAAGCTGTTTAAGAACAGCAGAACAAGAAATTGTAAAACTTGCGAAAAGGTTTCTGTCAAGTATTTTACCGTTCATATTTTCCTATTTTATCCATATATACCGTATGATTCATATTCCAGTATAATTTAAAGTTTGTCATTGTTGTTATTAGTACTGATATCATTATTTACAATTAATAGCCTTAATGAAGAAAGTAATGTTATCAATGAAAAGGATGCGCGATGCCAAATTTTGAACACAGAGTTAGATGAATGGCGGATCAAGGCATCTGCATTTGAAGAAAAGAATAACCAGCTTGAACAGCAATTAAAAACCACCAAACAAGAATTGTATACTACTCAGGTAAGTTTAAACTGCAGATATTTTTCGGAATTACTATTTTTTGTATTACTCTGAATACATTCCACTTAGAAATAAATTGCAGTATAATGTGCTGCTTCAAAGTTTCAGAAAAAAGATCGTATGTGTTTTAAACTAGTTTTTGACTCATGTTTTGTCATTTTTAGAACTTAATCCATTGTTGGATGATTTTAGTTATTTAGAGATGTAATTGTTGCAGAGGCAACTACGTGAGGCAGAGTTTGATATTTCATCTAAACAAAGAACTGCTGACAGCTGGAAAAAAAGTGCAGCTTTAGAAGAACAATGGCGCTTAAAAATGGAAAGGGAGCGTGAGGAGCTCTTGCAGGTACCGTTGCAGTTTTGGTTTTTATTATTATAATTTTTATTTCAATCTTATGGAGAATTAACATATTTTTGTTTCAGGAATTGGAGACTTTGCAGATCTCCAAAGTTGCTGGGGAAGAAAAATTGCGACAGCTCAAAGCCGATAATGAAGCGGAAGTTTTTGAATTACAGAACATGATTGATGGACTTCGATCAGAAATAAGAGAAATGGTTTATGGATTTTAATTTTCTTGCAACGCTATGAATTGCTATTATAAACTTATTTAAGTTTTTATATTTAAGCGACGAGAGAAGGATGAAGTTTTAATAAGTCAGAGTGATAGAATACGAGACAAAGAATGTGAAATTGCCAGGTATATTAGCGTCATTGCGGGAATGCAAAAACAGCTTCGTGCTGCTGAAATTTCCAATGCAGGCATTCAAAGTGTAGCTTTAGAAGTATGATTTTTTTGTCAGAATTCAAATTTTTAACGTAATTAACTTCAGACTTGGAAATTTATTTATTAAATGTATTCTTCATTTTAAGATCAAAAATTTTGCCGGAGAAATTGAAAATCGAAAGGCAGAAATTCAGAGTATACGACTGTTATTTCCCAGCATACAACGTGAATATCAAACACTGCTTGAAGAAAATATGCAAGATAAAGCTTTAATTAAGAGTTTGCAGAATCATGTGCGTTTTTCAGCATCAACTTTACTGATTTATTAAATATTTCTTACTAGGGAGTTTTATTTTGCTAGTTATTTAGTTGAAATTGTTCATATTCATATATGTATCAGCTTAGAGTTCATTTTTGAAAGATTATATCAACAGATTTGATCGTTCTTCAGATATCGATTAGTGAATATCAGTCAAAAGCATTATCTGCTTCTTTGGAAGATCAACGCAAAAAAGTACGTCGACCTATAAAAAGCTGACTTCCACGATATTTATTATCAGCTTTTGTTTTTCAAATATCAAATTATATTTTTTAGCATTTGGAAGCCATGACAGCAAAGCAAGAGATTTTGAATGAAAAACAGAAGATGCTATTAAAGCTTTGTAATCAGCTTCAAAATAGTTCAGAATTTTCCCTCCATTTACAGGAAGAACTAAAGCAGCGCAATGGTATATTTTGAGTTTAATTTCTTTCATTTTTTAAATTGCCATTTGGTTAGATCCGTTGTACTTGATTGATGAAATCAAATCAGAATCCAAAATCTTTCGATATATTGTTTGGAAATGTTTATAATCATAAAATGTGCTTATTGACAAACAATTACTATTCCAATAAACTTCCTAAATATTTGATTAGAAAACCATGTGGGATACATTAAAATTGCAGCTGCTTATCACGTTCTCGAGCAACGTCTTGCTTCCACCGAGGAAAGATGCTCAACGCTTTCTCAGCGTTTCTCATTAAGCTGTAGCACTTTAAACTGCAGTAAAGCAGAAGAAACAATCAAACTTGGCACTCATTTTTCTGACTTATTGCATGGTGCGAAAATATTTTCTTGTTTGTTTGATGTGTAATCTTACTCCAAGTAAGTTTATAGAGCACTGGAAAATTGCAGATGTTTCAAGTGGTGCGTTTCTTCATGAATATCATCCACTTCCTAAAGTTGAAGATGAGAACGATTTAATGTCATCATCATCTGTAAATGGAGATCTTTATTTGTTGAAAGTGGAACCGCAGTGCTACAACTCCATCGCTGCTAATGAGTATGTTTTGCTCTGTCTTAGCTCAGTCTTTGTAGGACAGAAATAAAATATAAAGTCTGCAAACAAAAAATGAAAAGAAACCAATTTAAGGCGAGAAGAATACAGTACTTCTGTTGACAGTGAACGCATAGTTGAATTGAATCGACGTAATAAGACACTACCACCGCACATGCGTTCTTCTTATGCCACGGAGCTAACATACGCTTCCAATCGATTTTCTTCGAAAAATTTTGAAGATGCTTTGAAAAATTCTGAAAATCTGGGAGTTTTCCTATGCAAAGACAACAGCGAATCTCCTAGTGCACCTTCTCCATCCAATTTATCTAGATCAAAGGTTGACAGCTATAATCTTAAATTTGTCTAAGAAAAATACTATCTGTTTTTAACTATTGAGTGTTGCGTACTGTCTTCGCTACTTTTTTAGTACGCTTCGCGATCTCTGCGCAGTGTTAGAAAGCAATTCAAAAAAATGCTACAAGAAGCGAGAATGCCAAAAGAACGTACTCCATTGAAAATGAAAAATTGGAAGGGTTAATTTGTTTGCTGCTTCCTTCAGAATTCACTGTGATAATTTTTAACTTATTAATGTTTGTGTATTGATCTTCATCATATTTCAATAGCTTTATTTTATGTAATAGATTTTGCGAAATCTCGGTAATCTTGTGTTCATTTCTTCAGCAGCACTTCAATTTATTTGTGATCTTAAATGTAATTCAAGATGCAGGAACTTACAATAGATTTTTCTAAATCATATGTTTGAACTGTAGGTTTATCTCTACACATCAGTTAAAAAACCAGATGATGTGCGGTATGAATTCCCATTTGCTTCCTATAAACGAGCTTTGCTTAATTTTTAAATTTATTACAATTTCAGAGATTGATCTCTAATGTTTATACTTTAAATAGACTCTTAAAGAAAAGTAATGTATAGTGAAAATGAACATAAATTGGTCATAAAGAAGATTTTTTGTGATCTTGTAGGAATATTTGCAGATCTAATGGTTCGCAATTGTTTAATACATGAATGCGCCGAAAATAGTTGTTATAATTTAGAATTTACGTGGTGCCCATTTTTATATTGTCATTTGTACGTTGAATTGGAATTAAATAAAGAAAATCTTCAATTCATATATACCAGTAATGAGTCGCATGAAAATAAATTTCGTAATCAAGGGTTGGTATTTGGTTTGGTTTTGGATTATTTCTTGTATTTATCTAAAAATAATCTTACCATTTTTAATAAATTACACAAATAATGAGCTTGCTTTCACTAATAACGTGTGAATAGGATATGCAGTTTGCGCAGATTTATGATGCTGATAAGTTAAGTCTCCTCTTGCTGAGAGAGAAAGTGATTTTTGGATATTCAGATGACATCAAAATATGAATGTAGAACAAAAAGTAAATATTTTATCCTCCAGATCCTTAATACTATTTCTAATTTCATAGGCTTATAACTTGAATATTGGATTAATTATATTCCAAAAAAGAAAGCAATCAGAATGGCATCAATAATTACAGGTTTTATTTTTGAGTAATACATGACGAGGAATGAGCTAAAAAAAATAGGTGAGTTTTGCATCGAAAAATAACCTAAACCATTGAATAATGAGTGGGTTGTAGGTATTATATTACGTTGCCTCTATTTTTTCCTTCATAATGCCACCTTTCAGCATTACTGTTAGTTATACCCACCGGTGCATTACTTGTGGCATTGAGATTATTAATTTGAATAATAAACGCAGCATTAAAGTTTATAATGTTCTCGGATGAAGTGTTGACATTAATGTATTAAATAAGAAACTATTCAAATACTCAGGGAATCAGTGAATGAATGAGTGAAGTTCTTAATGAATATTATTAATATTTAGAATGACTGCTATTAATTGCTGGTTTCGTGTCATTGTTATTATGAAAATATTAGCCACAAAGTTGAATAATTACTTCTCGATAGATTATATTCTCAACAGTTTCACTGCGCATACGAAAGTGTCATTCTCATTCGTTTTCTACACATTTCGCTGTCAAAATTACTTCTGACTTCCGTCGAATTGATCGCAAAAACTTGTTGCTTCTCTGCCCCACAAAACTCTTCCATCATACCTTTCTGCGAAAGTATTATTGACTGTTTAAAAAGTTACAATAAATATAGCTTATTTTTTCATCATTCAAATATTGCCACATTGAACGACAATCACAGATTGTATAGCTGTTTTTAAACTACTCTCATGTGCATATTATTTTGCAAATCTCATAGATTATCAACGTGAAAGGAAGGGTTTTTTTAAAGAATAGCATAGTTTCGCTACTATTTCTCGTTTGCGAACTTTTCACGTTTCAGCAAAGTGTACCAAGCGAAAAATTTTCTATAGTGGATGCGAGAAATCAAAAATTGCGCACACTCCAGAACAAATGACCCATTTAAATTCTTTCGTTCTGCATCAGTTGGGTGCAACATCGCAGTGTAAGAATGTAAATATTCAATTTTCATAGATTCTTAAGAGCGAAATCTTAGTTGCGCATTTTTCTTTTATAACACTGTTATCGCTATAATTTAATTTTTCTCTCTTGCATTCGCAAGTTTTGCCTGATAATTTTACTCTTTCTGACAGCAATGAGCGTACGCGTTTTCATCTCCCACCATCAACTGCATGCTTTTTCAGTAAACTTTTACAATTTCACTTATTTCACGTGAAATTATATCTTTCATTCATTGTGAGTTTTTATTGATTTTGAGACTTTTTATTAGGATTACTAACAAGTTGAAAAATCTGCTTCCAGTAGTCGCATTAAAACTTTTAAAATTATAATGTAATAAATATTTAAAAAGTTTCGCATACTTCTTTATTATATAAATGATATATATGTAAGCAATATAAAAGGTGCGCTCTGAGAATTTACGCGTGGCATCAAAATATCAGCTTCAGCACCATCTCTCTCTCTCAGTTCTGTTCTTTTTTTGAGTAAGTGAATATTAATCTCATGACTTGTGCACTAATTTTTGCAATTTTTCATAGTAATAACCTAGCAAAGGTCATATTGGAGATCTAGTTTGGAATCGAGAGCGAGCATAAAAACTTGAGCCCAACGCATTTTTTCATTTTCAATTTTGACTGTTTTCGAGATGACTGATCGATTTCAAACTGGAAATTTCTCAAACTTTAACTTTTCTATTCATCAGTATTTGAATTAAATACCCTTGAATAATAACTAGCAACTTGCGCAACAAAAGCGGACGAGATTAACGATATCTTGCGCATACCTGAATTGCCAAGCAGTTTTCAAGTACTGAAATACAAATGCGTGACAGGTAATAATAGTATACATTCTATCGAAGCAGTATTCTCAATTAACAGTTATTGAGTACTTCATGTTTTTACTAAGAATAGATGCAAATTTTTCAGAAACTTTTAGCTGTTTGAATTATAGTTTTAGAACTTTAGGCAGTAATCAGTTGTGTTCTTCTGTTATAATTTAAAAATAAATAAATTTTACACATCATTTGTCTTTTACCAAAACCAGAAGTCATTTTGAATGAGAGAATAATTTTTTAGATATGAACCAGTATCAAATTTTGATTTTCCGTCACTTGTTAACGTGGATGCAGTTGGAGAGACTGATGATACAGAATTGATTACCAGTCATTCTATGAACAATGAAGATGATTCTTTCAGGAAAACTATAACTTTTCATGATTTATTCCACAATGTACAATTCTCTCATAGACATCGATTATACATAGGTAGATAAATATCTAAAGAAAATTATGCAAATTATTGTGCTACAAAGAATTTACTTTTTTTTTGAATCGCACGGAACTTCTACTTGAATACTTGAGAAAGAATTTCAGGGATAGTTACAGGCACAAGCTGCACCACAATTATGCTTATGATTGCACTGTCTTTTGGTTTTGGTAAAGTTTTATTCGATACTTTTGCCCAAGAAGAAAAATTACGACATGGTGAGAAACAAGCAATATATTTGCTAATGAGGCGTTAAATAAGTAAAGTCTGAAGTAATCGAATAATCAAATCAGAAATCAATCAACTGTTTAATTATTTGGTATTTTTTAAGTTATGGACAGAATGGTATTGAATGATATACTTCTTAGTAAATATCTGTTACGCTGTAAAGATTTCTCACAAAGTAATTATAATATTTTTATGTAACTGCAGATATTACAATTTTGAATTACTTTATATTGCTGAATCAAAAATTGTTTTTATTTATTTATTTATTTTTCTAAAATATTGATTTTCAGTACCTAATTTTAGGACTCAAAATGATACCGAATTTATGGTCGAAACCGACTAATGTATTTTACTTCAGTGTGCGCAATGGGACTGCCAACAGAGAGTACGTGCAAGAGATTGATGACTACATTGCAAGTAAGTATTTTTCAGCATTAAAGCACATTGCATATTGGCAACCCTCAAAATAGAACCAAGCTTATTTTGTAAATTTTCTGACCTAAATCAAAAATTTTCACAAAATATAGGAATAGGTCGTCAGAAATTTTTATAGATTTGTGATAATTTGTGATAAAAATTTGTAAAATGAAACTTTAGCTTATCTCAGCTATTACTTTATTCGGAATTCTATCTAGCTTTGATAAAATTTTCAATCGTTAAATAGTTTTGAACAAAACAGTTTTGTCCCCGACTTTACTAATAATAATATACTGATATAATCTGACAAAAAAAATCAGTCTTAATGATAAACTCGTCAACCTATGAAATGTTAATGATAATTTCATTCACCTAGAAATGAATTATACTGAAATATTTTGAAGAGTACATGGAATACCAGGAAAAGATCAAGAATTACTTGAAAAACTGTACAGTAAAAGATCGCAGGGATGAAGGTCAGTGGTGCTCATTCGATATTCGTCAAGCACTTGGTTCAGAATGTTCTAAGGCATCCAATTACGGCTATAATTCCGGGAATCCTTGCATACTGTTCGCTTTTGAAAATGTAAGTTGACTCTTCACGGTACAACGTAAACATTTCATAATAAAAGTTTTCTTTAAAATTTAATTACTATTTTTTCAAACTGAAATATGAAACTTAATATTTTTGTTATAATTTGTTTTTGTAGTATTTAGGATGGAAGCCAAATATGAAAAGCGAAGTCGATTATCTGCCTTTTTCTTGCCGCTTGGTAAGCCAGTATATTCACTTTTTGCTACTAATGAGATAATTACTTAATTC